ATTTTGTCTTGTTGGATTTTCTTGAGTGAAGTCCATGCAAGGGATTGGGACCAATTTGGAAAATTGGGCCATAATTGGGCCTTACATGCTTATTTTGGATCTTGAGCTTTTGGTCGTTTAGTGTAGTCCTTAGTCTTGGGCCAAGTTTGAGGAAGGGTAAAAAGGTATTTTACCATAAATTGTACTCATGGTGTGATTTAGGATCTAGTTATTGATGGATTGTCATTTATGGTATTTAATAGCGTGGGCTCTAGCAGTTCCGCAGTCAGAGATCATTCGAGAGAGCAGCTGTTGATGGAGTGTTGGCTTAGTATTTCCAGTCACAGATCGTTTGTATGATTCATACATGTGAGGTGAGTTTTCCTCACTGTACTTGTGGGTTGAAGGTACCAATGCGAACCCAGGGGATTGATATCCAATCATGCATGTTTGTTATGAGCTGTTAGATCGGTATCCTGGTAGATAGGATGTTGTTATGTTGTTATGGTCTGTTAGATTGGTATCCTGGTAGATAGGATGATGCTATGCTTAGTGATCTGTTAGATCTATTTGAATGGCTGTAGACTCTTATATGATTATCTGATATATATATATATATATATATATATATATATATATATATATATATATATGCATATGTTTGATTGGTTGTTTGTACTACTCTGATTTGTGCGAAGCCAACAGGTCGGGGCATTCCAACCCGCTGATTGAGGGCCAAGGGTATTCCAACCTGATGGTTGATTGGACCCACAATATGTTAGGAATCCAACATAATGGTTGAGGGCTGAGGGTATTCCAACCCGATGGTTGATTGGACCCATAGTATGTAGGCATTCCAACCCGATGGTTGAGGGCCTAGGGTATTCCAACCTGATGGTTGATTGACCACATAGTATGTTGGCATTCCAACCCGATGGTTGATGCCTGAGGGTATTCTCACCCGATGGTTGATTGGACATGTAGTATGTCGTCATTCCAACCCGATGGTGGAGGGCCTGGGGTATTCCAACCTGATGGTTGATTGGACCCATAGTATGATCTTTTGTATATGTATTATTGTTTGCGTGTTGGTACTTCGGGGGAACTCACTAAAATTTATGCTTACAGTTTTAATTTATGGTTTCAGGTACTTCAGTGGATCGTAGGAAGGTGAAGGCATGACCGTACACATCCTCGTCTTTTTGGAACTTATGGTTTCTAGAATACTCTGATAATGTGAATGTTTTCGAAAACTATATGTAAATGATTCCGGTTTTAGATTAATGTTTTGGAAACAACGATTTTATCAACACCTCTTTAATAAATGGGTTGTTTTGAAAGGTTTATATTTTATGAATGTTAAAAAGTAGGGTGTTAAACAGAAGAAGAACAAGAATGATTAACAACTAAAATTCTACTAAAATTTAACTAATTTTAAAGTAAGTAAATTGGGGGGGGGGGGGGGGTTCTCTGGTTTTTGCAAGTGCAAATTACATAAAAGCAATTATCACCAAACATATTAATTAACAAAAACTAATTAAAATTAAGTTTAAAAAAATATATTAAAGATACTTCCATTTAGATACGATTCACTTTACTCTTGTGGTTGATTTCTTTGAAAGTGCAATGGATTAAGTTGCTATTGCTTACCGATTCATAAGTTGACTAGAGTTTATGATAAAATGGCTAATATTTTAATAAAACAAGTTCATTCATTCATTGATCAAGTGGAAAAATAAACAAGAATACTAGTGTTAAGTTCGAATTATGCTAGACTTGAACATTGGAATTAATGGATAAAAACATCAATTTAATACATCAATGATCATCATATAATAACTTTCACATTAATTTACTCAATTTTCTATTTAACCCTGAGTTGATGATCAAAACATTAGTCTTATAAATTTGATGGTCACAAATTCATAAGATTCAAGTTTACCAAAACATAATGATCATCTAATCTGAGTAAAACTTAGTATTAAATAGAAAAGGGAGTTATCAAGCTATCATAACACAAAAGGCTATTTATCAAGCTATCATAACAAATAAGCAACTAACAATAATCCATAATCCATTAAATCAGCAAACTCATAAAGTTCCTCTACTCTAAAAAGAAGTTAGGGTTTTTAGCCCATAACTTTTGGAAACAAACAATAAAAAACGAAATTCACTTTGAAAAGCATGATGAAAAACATAGTAAAAAAGGTTTAGAAGTATTTTGTGTTAAAATCTCTTCAAAACTATATATATATATATATATATATATATATATATATATAGTTTCTAAAATCTGCTTCCTATGCCGTGGCAAATAGGCTCCACGACGTGCCTACATATCTCGATGTTGTGGGCTTCAAAATCCTTTAGTTCTTGAATTTTAGTTGACTCGATCAAATTTTCCTGCCTCCAGCTCTACATTTTGCTTCCTTTTAATCATGAGCATGTATTTGTTGCTTCAAAATATATTTTAAATATATTAAACACCTTTTATCCTTAGGTAAGAACAATTGTAGCGAAAAATATTAAGGTAATGCACAAAATTTATGATAAATATGAAAATATCAAAATACCCCACACTTGACTTTAGCTTGACCCCAAGCAAAACTGATTTTATAATCATTATACCATCACATCAAAACCTTAGCTAGCAATTGTGTCTAATATTCCTAAGTACTTCCCTAATCCTAAATACTTACAATCCTCATACACGTTTCCCAGTTATTTTGAACAACATTCATTTTATGCATACCTTCGAAGATATCCTCATAAATGTTTCTTAACCTCAAGGTAAATTTTGATTAAGCCGACAATCATATATATAGAAAAAGAACATAAATAATAAAAATCACAATAAAATAAAATACTCATTTGACTTTTGTCAATTTCACTTTATTCTTCAATATCTTCAATCCTCACTCAATATTTCTCATTCTCTCTCTCTCTCTCTCTCTATCTCTATCTATCTCTATCTCTATTTTTTAAACAACTAAAAACCTAAAAAGAAAAAAAAATATATGCTTAATCAAGGGAGCATAACTTCAACCCTTATTGGTTAAAGGCATTAGTCTAAGGTGCAATGACTACATATGTTTTCTTAGATACATTTCTGATACACGATGCTAAACTTATTATGTCCCTCAAACTACACGAGGTTATGTTTTTGTCCCATGATTTAACTAGGAAAAGGAAGCCACAAATACCCTAGAACATATATTGGCTCAATTAAACATTGATGCTCGCATAAGATTGTTTTAGCTAGAAAAAGAAACAGATTCCCTTGGGATAGAAGTGGCGAGGTCAAAATCGAAAGTTTTATGGTTAATATATTGTGAAATAACTGGAAAACAGTACGCGGGACTACTACAAGAATGATCTTCAAATGCACGCAAGAGAACGGACTCCAAATAGTGGTAAACGAGTAACCAAAATTTGCATCTGAGACTCCCTATGCCATGGTCTTCCAATAATTTAAAAACTAGATAGCGAAAATTTTCATGGCCATGCCGTGGTCTTGTGTTACAACGAAGTCACTGTTGGAACTTCAGAAAAAATGTGGCATTCTGTGCATCTCGAATTTGGGTGAGAAAAAGCAACGTCGGTATGGCATACCCTTATAATATGTTGTCAGATCAAGTTCTTTAGATATAATGGCTATAGAATTTGAAATTTCACTCAAAAACTCTTCTCGATTCGCAAATCGCACCCCCAAATTAAGCTTGTTAAATAGGAAATCCTTTTGAATAGATTAGGTTCTAACAAGTAAAGAATTGCACGATGTAAAAAAAACATGAACAAAATATGGATCAAAGATGTTGAATGATTAATAAACCACAACCTTAGAAGAACTCTATAAAGAATTCCTACTGTAGAGGCGTGCTAGGGTTACAAGGAAAAGATCAATCCAATTTTAACAACTAAGGTTGCATGCATGAACTATTTAAACTATAACCCTAATCTTAAATACGGCTAGACAGGTCCATACCATGAACATAATGGACATAAACAAAACAGCCCAATGACACAATCTAATATACTCAACAATCTCCCCCTTTGCGTCAATTGAGGCTCGAACCTTTCAGCATTGGATTCGTTTTTGTACTTCATATACCTTCGGTATCATGGCATAAATTGCTTGACGAACTTCAATATACCAAAGAACCATATAAGAGAAACTCTTGATATCATCTTTCTTGATGCCTCTGAACTTGCTCACTTGCTCCAAAATAAACTCAAGAAAGGTTGTGGTGTAGAGATGCTTATCTGAAAGATAGAGGCAACCTTTATGAAAATCTGCTCCAGATCGTTCCCTAGCAGAATAGACCACGAACCAATCTCCACTATAGAGTTTCTCTGGCTTCAATTTTTCAAAATCCTTAGGATTTTCCTTAAGTACTATCGAAGGTCTCTTTTTCAGGATTGCAGCAACTTCAACATCCATCTCCCTAATCTCCTGGATGTAGGACTGTATCATATTCTTAAGATGAGACATGACAGGGTCATACTTATCCTTGTTCTTCAGCAACATGTTGTAAAGAGTGAACCAATCGTTTGGGTTGAGGCATGTAAGATCTGCAAGGGTAAACTCGAAGCATTGATTTGTGAACCTCTCGCAACTTTAAACTTAGCCTTTGGAAAGCTACCAGTCTCAATTGGTCCTGTAACTTTCACACAAGTAATCTTGCTTAATTACTAAGTTTCATATTGGGTCTTCATATGCTTTAGATGGAATGAGAAAGCATATGATTAGCTAAACCATCTGTGATTGGAGCATGAGATACTTTAACAAAGGAATGAAAACGGAAAGCTTTTGGAGTAATAGGCATATCAAGTTGAGAGTCTCGTGTATTCTAAAGCTTGAAAGAAACTAGAAGTTCCAACCAGTACTAGCTTGGAAGATCAACAACATCACTCTGGATTCGCTTAAGAGTCCACTTGGGAAACAACAGATTTTTACTCTGTAAAGTAGCCTATGCTTCTTTCTCAACCCTTTCTTTTTCTTCAGCTTCACGGATGATTCGCTAATGCTCATCCATTTCAGCTGCACGAAGTTTTTGCCTTTTCAGTTCTTCTTCAGTAATTTCTTCTATGCTATCATTGTCAATGAGTAGTTCATCATGAAGCAGAGTTTCCTTGTCTTTCGGTTCCGGCTTGACAATTGGCTTGACAGGAGCTTTAGGCGCTTTTGGTTCTACCTTTCTTGATCGACCAGCCATATTTCCTTTCTTGATCCACAACCAGTCATCCTTTCTCCCCTTGGTTCGGATTAAAGGCTTGATCAGAAACACCTTCAAGGTGATGAAGCATGGAAAAGATAGGCTTTAACTTCTCTTGGAGATGCTTACGCATGGTGATGGAGATCATTGAGTCCCTGGTGTCAATGATATCCAAGAGCATGCTAGTAACATCTGAGATACAACTTCGCATGATTTCCCTCTCAGATAACAGATCATTGACCTATTTCTACAAAGCTTCATGTCTGGTGCTTGACACCTTGGCTTCTTCGGTTTTAAGAGTGAGAGAATCCTTAAGAGAGATTTCCTTCTCAAGTTTGTCTTAAGCTGAGAAAGATGAGACGAAAGAGGGGCTTGAAAGTACTCATGGTCAGTTTTAAGACCAGATGGAAGCTCTTGGAGTTTTGTCTTTTCATTCTTGAAGAGAGATCCCAAACTCTTCAATGCTTCATTAGAGAATGTAGTGTTGGAATTATAGGTGGTTTGGAAGTTTTCCATGAAGGAAATGGTCTTCTTAATTATTTTATCGACTTTCTCGGTCGTAGACTTGCAAACCTCAGCATAATCAGCAACAATTTTACTTGAGGTTTCAACAAAAGTAGTATGTTTGTTTCATGATGTGCTCAAAGGAGACTCAACAGATGATTTGGCATAATCGTCAAGGGTGAGGCTTTGGTAGATTGAAGCAGTTGGTCAATCTTTTCATGTAGAGATTGAATTTGCCATGTTACTACGTGTTCCACATCATCCTTCTCATTCCTAATTTTGAAGGACTGTAAGTAAAACCTTCAATATCTTCGTCTTTTTCATCACGAAGAACCATGTGTGGCTCATCATGAATAATATGGGAAATAGGAGGTGAAAGATGAGTTGAAAGACTTGAAGGTTCAGCCCCCATATCAGGTACGTTCACACACACAAAAGGTTGGATGGAGATAGTAGGAGCGATGGTTGAATCAATGAAGATAGGGGTGGAAACGGGAATAGTTAACTGTGGTTGAGATGAAACGGGTGGAGGGCCAATGGTGAATGTTTGAGAAACAATAGTAACAAGTGGTGGTTAAGATAAAGTTGTGATGGATTGAGTTGATACATGAGGTGGACAAGGTGTGATAATAATGTCAATGGACGTGTGAGTGGAAGAATGAGGTGGAGTTGGAATCTTATCATTGAGATTTACTTCTTTGATTGGTGATAGTTGAGGTGAATTACCATGGAGCGAATCCTCAGATTGGGAGTCTACGCTTTCTCTTGATTCTTCAATAGCGGTCCCCTTAGGAACGTACTCAGTATCGCCTGTGGAAGAGGAGCTAGGCTGCAAAGTCATCTTTCTTAACTTTCGCTTCTTTGGAGCAGAAGGAGCTGCACCTTGGGTATTTTACTTCTTGGGGTTGGAAACTTGTGTTGATGGACCTTCAGAAACCACTTTCTTCTTATCTCCCTTCTTTCCTCCCTTTTTGGGTTTATCAGCATCATCCAAAGATTTTTGCATCTCAGGAGTTATTTTCTCTTAGACCAGAAATTTGTTTCATCTTGTAGGACTTAAAAATAGTACTTTCCCTAGACACGCTTCGAAACATGGATTCAGGAATCGATCCTATGAAGAAAATTTGGAGTTGTCTGCTATGATGATTTTCGTTGTGCGGAATGTGGTGATAGAAGCCTTCAATGAATCCTACATTACCGGAACATTAAACTTTTGAATTGCCCTTTCCACCACTATGGTCCAAAAACGACCACAAGAAATTTCATTGTGCCTTGAAAGAAGAGTTCATACTCTGTACCAACTGAGCCCAAATACTGAGCCATAGTCAAGGTTAATCCCATGGTAAAGGCCATAAAGGATTTTCATAAACAGTTTTCTGGCACAATCCCGACCCATCAACTCTCTCACAAAAGGCTTTGAAGGTGATAGTGAACAAACCATTCCATTGTGGTGGGAGAGAAGATTTCTTGAACCTTGTGATCGTGGTAAGAATGTCGGCATACCCCATGTGATATAACATATCAAATATTTGGTTAGTAGATATTGACTCTGGGTTGACCATGGAGTCATTGTAAGTTAGCCCAAGTAGTGAGCAAAATCGAGCTTTTGAAATCGAGGCTTTCTTGTCAAAGATCTCGAAGATGATCTTCTTTGCTTCCTTCTGGTATTCGCAGTGGAATAAGCCTTGGAAAACATTGGCATGAAACCAACTCGATCTTGGTTAGGACAGTGACCAACGGTGAGTACTTGAGACATTCCACTATAGGCAGCATGTAGGAATCGTATTTGAATGGTGCAAGATCCAAGATCAAATTTTGATTTGGATTGATTGAGAGAAAAGAGGATTAAGCGGTTCGATCTTGAACAAATGAACAGTCGCCATTGTTGTAGGTGCTTATAGAAGATAAACTCGGAAAATCGCTTTTTAGGGTTCTTGAAAGTACTTGAAAAGTGGTAAAATAGAACGCAATGATGATAACCCTTTTATACAATTGCCCAGAGAGAGAATCGAATCATCGATTAGATAAAGGTCTCGTAAACAACGCCGAAAAGGTGTGATTTGACACTATCATCTCGAAAAGCATGTCAGGCAGAGTGATGAATGGTGACATTTCAAATTCACATGCCTTTAGTTTGAAATCTTATCCATTCCCGACTCTTCATATTATCCCCTAACGCTTCATATTCCAAGTTAATAAATGAAGCTCTGTTCGCCTGAATAAGCCTATGTGGAAGCGAGAAACTATAGATCCTATTAAAATAAAAGAGCTAGAATTACCACGAAACAAGACTTTTGGAAAATCAATGCATTTTAGTACAAGGGTGTGCCAAAAGAAAGAAAAAAAAAGTGAATATTGATGGGATTTAAGTGATGTCATTATAGACATGAACTGATGATCACGGGCACGAATCTCTTCTTTAAAAGTCAAGAGAGACTGAGAAATGTCTGTGTGGTTACCCGTTGAAGTACGATAAAATGTTTGTTAAGAAACATTGAAAGGCAACTTTTAATTACGACTTTAAGGGTGGCTTTCACTTCAACCCAAACTACGAACTTGATATAAGAACGAAAGTTGGACGAAGTACTTGTGTGGCCAGTGTAGCCTATGACAACAAGTAGGTTTGATAATTTTATAGTGACTTGGTAAAATTATAGAAATCTCAAAAACAAAACGAAACTGGATCTTTTGCAAGAAAAGTCTTAGTGTTTGGGCATTCCATAAATATCTCGCAAAAAATAAAAGAGATTTCAAGGAACAAACCATAATTTCTTTCGTTAAATCATGGGTGTAAAGCTAGAACTTTTAATGGTTCACCTGAAGGGTTTTGGTCATAAGACATCCTATGTGCTCATACAAACCTAATGCTTGGATCTAGGTTTCTCTATTGTACATGCTTTGAATCCAAGACTATAAACCCTAATTCTAACATATGGAAATCGGCATTAACATATAATTAGGTTTAAGAACATACCTTGATTGTTATATAGCAATAACAATCACAACTCCACCTTGGATTGACTTTGGAATGCTTAAAGTCACAAGTATCACTCCTCTAATGGTTTACAAACACCATAAGCAAATGGTGAAGGTATAAAGAGAGAGGTGAGAGGTTAGAATTTGTATCTAGGACCTCTTGGGAAGGGATACACGAATTCATGACCCTAGGGCTGTTTATATAGGTGTAGAGATAGGGTTTCAGTCATTATCCTTATCTAGTTGATTATCCATTAAGCAACCAATAAGATAATCCTTGAATCCTTATCATACTCGAATTCTAAGGCATTTCAACCTTAAATTCGTCCACCATATAAATAAGATAATCCTTACCTTATTTTGTAACTATCAAATAATTATAAATCAGCCCCTCTAGTTTAATTAATTACATTTGATCACAAAACTAATTCTTAATTAATTATTGACCAATATTAATTAAACAAATATGATTTCTCCTTTAATATATTATTCTTATAACATATTAATAAATCATATTATCCTCTCTCTCTTTATTCCTTTCTCCAATCAAGTTGCTTTGGTGAAGGCAACCCAAAAGGACCATGCACCATCGGGTCAAGTACATACCAAAATAGTTATAGACTTAGACACTAATCCAACATCAAAAACATAAGGAGTTATATTTACAAGGATAAAAATATTAGGCAAATGAAATATGTAAAATACCTATCTATAAACATTATTTTCAAAGTAAATCATACTAACAAAATAATTTTGCAACAAAGATGGATATGATTCCGTAAAGAAATATTTTCTTCATTATGTGGATTTTTGTTTCCCAGTAAAAATAAATCTAGGAGTAGTTATTATTTAAACTTTTTTTTGTATAATTGATATCTCGGTATATGTTCGTATTATAATCCACTAAAAAGTTATGTTGTTTTGAGGAAATTAGTGGACAGGGTACCAATAAGATGTTAGCGAGTAACTGATGTTTGAGACTATAAATGGACTTAGTGGAATCAAAATGACTAATTCTTCCTGTCGGAATGCAGTCATTCAAATAGACTGAATGAGTCACAGGCTCACCCAAAATGGACTCTATATGGAAAAAGATATGCATGTTTAAATTTGGATGTTGAAATAAGCATTAGTTAAGGAAAGTACATTGCTTTACTGTGCATTTTAAAAGTAAAACACGAATTTGTACTTATAAGATTTATTTTTATAATAACAATAATAGACTTATTTATCACATTGGATAAGCTTTTAAGGGTGTATGTATACCAACATAGTTGTAACACCTATCACCCGAAGACATACGAATAGAGTGATGGGAAAGATTCAATCCGTTAAAAGAAATGTTTCAAGCATATGCTTTAGATTTTTTTGGTCAACTAGGATGTTTTTCATAGTTGGTTAAACTTACTTGTGGATCGAAATATAAGAAATATATGCATATTTAGAGTTGAAGTTGAACTACGTTGAATTTACTAAAAGTCTATAGCTTTAATGTGCATTTTAAAAGGAAAAACAAGATCATGTAAAGTTAGTCACCATCATATTTTCTCGTAAAAATCAATTATTCGTACATATAAATACATAAAATTTCTTCTTTGAAATAAAATTTTCGTATAAGATAATTAATTATTATGTCCTTCGTCATCACATTGAAAATAAATATTTTGATCTACTTTGGGTCGATCCAGTTCAAAGTGTCTCCATAATAATACCTATTAAAACATCGACATGAATGAACAAACCATTTCGAAAAATATTCGTTTCACAAATATCAAATACGTCATAAATGCAAAGTTTTATGTTTTGAAAGATTAGGAATATATACATATATATATATATATATATATATATATATATATATATATATATATATATATATATAGATATAGATATAGATATACACACACTACTTTCATAGTAATTCTAATTAAAATACATTTGCTAGCATAGATGGAGAATATTTTGAAGAAAACGACTTTCGTCATTATGTTGATTTATGCTTCTGGTTAATTTCTCTTTTCTTGAAATAATAATCCTGAACACATACACACACATGCACACATACACACACACACAGATATATGTATGTATATATATATATATATACGTGTGTGTGTGTGTTTGTGTGTGTGTGGATATATTGTTTATCAATACTAAATTTTTGAGATGTTAATTACATGATATTGTCTTTGTTATAATAGGTATGATGACCTTCCCACAAGTAGTGTATGGTTGTAGTAGAGATTTTGATTGTGACTTTATGGATCCTCCTTGTCCATTTGATACACATGTTGTATGCATTTGGAAAAGTTGTTATTGTATTGGGTTTGC